GGGCTGGGGCAAGGGCAGGCATTTCCCCGTCGGGGCGAAGCGGGGTGACCCCCCCCTGCTGTGCAACCCCCCCCCCCGAAAAGACATGGGGGCCACATGCCCCCCGATTTGTGCATGGGGTGAGGGCAGGCTGCCTGCTGCGGACTTGGAGCCAGGGGCTGCACCGGCCCTTTCCCAGTGAGAGGGCTAGGTGGGGGCTGTGCTCAGGGTGGGTGGGGACAGGATGGGCGGTAGCACTGGGAGGGGTAGCTATGGGGGGCTATGGAGAATTTTGGGGTGGTTGTAGCTTACTCACATAGCCCCCCTCCCAGTGCCACTGCTGTCTACCCTGCCCTAAGAGCAGCCCTGGCTCAGCTCCCCCACTGGGAAGAAGCTGGCTCAGCCCCTGGGTCTGAGACTGCAGGGCAGCCCACCCTCACCCCACACACAAAACTGGGGGGGGAACATGCTCCCCATGCCTCCTCCAATGGTGTGCATAGCAGCAGGAAGCCACTCCCCCTCCTCACTCCTCCATGTCCTGTGGATGAGCTGCCTGTGGCTCCATCCCACAACCCATCCTGCCGTGGCCTGTTACTTCCCTCACTGTGGGAATGTCTATCTGCTGCCCTACACTCCTTAACCCCCAACAAATTTACCAGCCGGACACTGCTCTCCAAGCTGCTGGGCTGCATATCGGCTATCAGATCAGTATTGGCTGATACGGCTGGTTAATAATTGGCCATCGGTATCAGTAAAAAAAAAAAAATCTTTGTCAGTGCATCCCTACTGCCTAACACTGCCAGCATCTCTGCAACTGCAGGTCCCAGCCCTGTTGCCCAGGCACCCTGGCCCATCCACCACTCACTGCCCACCAGAGGCATTGGATGGAGTGGGTGAGAAGGGTCTCCATGGACATCAGCCCGGGACCTTTGCAGGCAGGTCACCTTCAGCCAGCAGGATGGGTGAGCAGGGAGCAGCGCCCCGGAGCGGGACAGCAGGGTGGGGGCCAGGATCGCAAGGCGATGATAACACAGGGCTAGGGCACAGGACACAGCCCCCACACATGCAGGGAGCAGGTTGCAGTTCTGCCCCAGTCCTGTGCTGTCACCCACCCCATGATTTTGGCCCCTGCCTGTCTGTTCCACTCCCAGGCACCACCCCTCAACCACCTGCAGCCCCTTCCCATCTGCCCAGTTGAGTGCACCCTGCCCACAGGTGTCCTGGGCTAGTCTCTACAGAGACCCCACATGCCCACCCACTCTGTCCAGCACCCCCAGGAGCAGGCATGGGGCAGACAGGCCTGGGGCCTGATATGATCAATTACCATTCCCCCCCTGCCAGGTCAGCACTCCCTACCCCCCACATCAGCCCACAACATGTCACCAAAACTCCTTAAGTGGCCCTACAGCCCAAATAATTGCCTACCCATGCCTTAAATTATTATTTATATTATTTTCTTTGTGACAATCCTTAAACTGCCCTGAACTATAGCTACTAACTTTCTCTAATTATCAAATTTTATGGCCTTTAAAATGTCATTAAACACTTCTTTCAACCATAATCTGCTGAGAAGCAGCATCATGCTAGCACAACTAAATGTTTCTCCCTGGGTATCTCTCCATAGAATTGCATTGTGCCATCTATATAGTAAGTGGAAGGTAATGGAACAGAAGTTACAGATTGACAATAATATGAGGAGTTAGGTGGGAAGAGCAGTCGGCTAGGTGCGAGCGCTCACGTAGGTTCTTGGAAAGAGTCCAGGACCTTCATCTAACCCAGGAGGTGCACAGCCCCACCAGGGGGATGCCCTGTTGGACTTGGTGTTGGCCATGGGCGACAACCTGGTGAGGGGGCTGCAGCTGCTTGACCCCCTGGGCGACAGTAACCACTGCCTGCTAGAATTCACCATTCAGTGCAAGGTGGCAAAGGCAAGCAGTCAGGTGGTGGCCCTAGATTTTAGGAGGGCGAACTTCAACAAGCTAAGGAGGATAGTTGGAGAAGCGCTGAAGTCTCAGAGGGGAGGGGAGCC